TGAGCCACCCATGCCCCCCATGGAACTTCCTCCACCATATGAGCCACCCATGCCCCCCATGGAGCTGCTGCCTCCATATGAGCCCCTCATTCCTCCCATAGAACTACCACCTCCATATGATCCACCCATGCCCCCCATGGAGCTGCTGCCTCCATATGACCCCCTCATTCCTCCCATGCCATAGGAGCCACCCATGCCCCCCATGGAACTACCACCTCCATATGAGCCACCCATGCCCCCCATGGAGCTGCTGCCTCCATATGAACCCCTCATTCCTCCCATGGAACTACCACCTCCATAGGATCCACCCATGCCCCCCATGGAACTGCTGCCTCCATATGAGCCCCCTGACTCCATGGAGCCTGCTCCCCCTGAGAAGCCCCCAATGGGTGTTGGGACTGCAGTGCCCACGAAGCTCTCCTGAGGACAGGTGCTGAGGATGGGGCCTGGGAAGGTGATGACCACGGGAGGTGGGTAGACCACGGCACGGGAGTCCTCACAGGAGGTGACACAGGGCTCGTTCTGGGCATCCACAAAAGGCTGTGGGCAGGTCACCTCACAGGGTGAGGAGCATCTACTGCTCACGAGTTGTCCTGATGACATCTTTTGTGGTAGAGATAAACCTGGAGCAGAGGTGAAGGAGTAAAATTGAAATGCATCCTCTGCTCTGTGCCTTCTCACAATCCCCACAGTGATACAATCTGGAGTTTCTGGTAGAAGGAATTATTGACTTAGATATACAAGAACTACTCCTGGGCAGAGACCTTAACTCCAACTTTACTCCTTCTGAATGATAGCCAGGCTGGAAGTTGTTAAGTTGTAACTTCCTCATTAAACAGCATCTAATTGACACTTTCCCCTTGTGGTTTGGAAGGACACAGGCAGCCTCATGTTTAAAGACCTGCATCTGCCAATAGTTACTGCTGAATGGCTTCAAATAACTTCTCTGCCCAAGCAACAAACCAAAACTGACAGTACAGAACCACTCAGGTTGGTAAAGACCTCAAAGATCATCGAGTTCATATTGCTCATCATTGTCAAGGACTGATACGAAATTCTTGCTCAAGTTAAACACTGATAAAAACATCTCAGTTAGCAAAGCACCTTTAAGACAGAGAACTTACCAGGCTCGTGGAGAAAGGAGACTGAAGAGAAGCTGTTGGGGAACCTGGAGAGAACACCAGGCTTTTATAGCCCTTCCAGCAGCTTCCAGGCCATGCAACACTTCGGGCCATGGGACATAGCAGTGAACCAGCAATACATTTTGCTGTATAAGCTCATTCTAATTGAAATAATTGCTTTGATATGTGATAATGATTAGTAAATCAGCTCCACATCATCCAATAGGTGCAACACACCCTTTGTCTTCCTTTAATCCTTAAATAGTTTTTCGGTGCATTTTGTGGCTGTTTCCATTTCCTGACCTCGTTTGACTTGGGACTTGGACTCCATTTGCTGGGCAGGGTGAAGACATGAGGGTTTCCCTCTGCTAGGGGAAAACATCTGGGCTTTGGCAGGGGAAATATTTGCTGTTCTGCAGAAGATTCTGTAGGAAATTTAGAGCTGGGAAAACTGTAGATTTGATCTTTGTAGCCCTTCAGATGGAGAGGTCATTTTTTCTGCCTCGTTAACATCCACCCAAGTAACTTCTTACAGAAAGGCTTAGATTACTTCCTTGGCTGCCCAATGTCATCCAAGTCAGCACAGAGAACTGGGTGAGAGTATGGAGTAAATTTTTTGTCACAATTCTCCTTTTGTTGCCTTTCAGGAGAGCTGGAGGATTCAAGTGAGCTGTGGTCCAAGAGGCATCATTTGAGGAGTATCCTCACCTCTTTATGGATGTGGAATGGCTCCATGTAGATTGCATAAAGCAGATTCATTTAAAATAAAAGCATCCTAGGCATGGCAAGGCCTATTTTTTCAGGAGAGCCACAGAAGTATTCATGGACTTAAAAACCTCATCTGTTGTGAGGCAGAGACACAAAGGCATAAATAGGAAGAGAGATCCCTAAGCAAAGTTTCCTTTCTCACTATCCAGAAGCATCATGAGAACATGAGCTATGATCAGTGTTTTGGTGTGGCTGCACAAACATCAGGGATGTCAACCACCCAACAGGAAAGTTTTGGTTCTAAATCAAAGTCAACCAAAGTGATTTGAGATTTTGCCTCTTAGTCAGAGCTGTGGGAGGAAAGAAAACGCAGCCTGAGCTGGGACAGTTGGGTTTGCAGCCTCTTCCCCATGGAAAGGGCTGGAAAGGTCAGGCATTGGAAGGGGCTGCCCAGGGAGGTGGTGGGGTCACCATCCCTGGAGGTGCTCCAGGTGTTCAGTGCTCTGCTCTAGTTGCCAAAGTGGTGATGGGTCACAGGTTGAACTCGATGGTCTTGGAGATCTTTTCCAACCTCTGCAATCCTGAGATCCTGTGATCATTCTGTGCTTCCTGTTTATATCATTCTAATGGTTATGGTTAGTGTTTCTATCACTCATATCACCACATTTTTTGGTGTTTAACACCCAGTTAGAAAATAGAGCACAGGGAATTAAGATCTTGCAACAGAACATGAACAAGTCCTGTCAGGCAACCTTTGATTTGACAGCTTTGCCAGTCAGCAGTTCAGCATTGACTCCTCAATTAATGTGAGACTTTCTGCTTTCCTGCACTTGGGTTGAGAAACATCCATTTACATGAGGAACCTTGGGCCCTGCTGCTGTTTCTCCCATTCTTGCACCACTGCCATGTATCAGCACATCCATCACCCCCCCATCCAGATTTTGGAGAGGGAAAGCGAGATATTGTGTCCCAAACTTGTTTAGCAGACCAATAAAACCTTCCTGTGCATCTCCTCTCCCTCCTGCTTTGATCCCAGTGAGGACCAGGCATGACAGGAGCTGTGAGGTAACTTTGTGAGGGTCGGAACATCAAATCCAACCCAAGGTGTGTAGTGCTTGTAACGTGCCTTGGAATTCCTAATAAAGTGATCACATCACTTAGGAGAACAATTAGACCAATTAAAGAAATAATCCATACAGCAAAACACAGCTTGGAAAGGCGTAGGAAGGTCTTGCACAAAGCATGGCTCACAGCCCACTGGTGGTCTGAGAGATATATAAGAGAGCCTGGAATTCTTCTGCCTCATCAGCCACAGCTCTTCATCTACACTTCTCCAGACCCGGTGAGTTGGATCTTATCTCTTCTCTATAGGAATATAGAGGGAGATATTCTCTGTCTTTAACCTGCTCTTGGTCTTCTGCAGAACTTATGGTGCTAAGCAATGCTCTTTGCCTTTCCCATGCTCTTAAACTGCTGGTTAGTTCAATCTCTGCCTTTGGAGACACAGTGGATGAACTCTGGGACTGGATTTCCCCAGGCACTTGGAGCAATTTGATACTGTCACTCACAGCCACAGCTCTAGGTTAAAATCCAGCAAACATTTGATGATCAGCTACTTCCACAGACTCATGGAATTTGGCTTTGCTCTCCATGATTCCCAGCACTGCTAGAGCAGCAGGAAATACTTGGGGAAGGTGCAGGGGCTGGTGTTGGCATGTTCAGAGAAATGCAGAAGAGGGACAAGCCTCAATCTTTCTAAACTCTTCTTTCCCCCTTTTTCATGCTTGTGAAGACACCAGAGGAAGCTTTATCCTCTCTGGAATCTGGGCTTTGCACTTAGGAATTCTCTCCTGCTCCAGGTTTATCTCCACCACAAAAGATGTCATCAGGACAACTCGTGAGCAGTAGATGCTCCTCACCCTGTGAGGTGACCTGCCCACAGCCTTTTGTGGATGCCCAGAACGAGCCCTGTGTCACCTCCTGCGGGGACTCCCGTGCCGTGGTCTACGCTCCACCCGTGGTCATCACCTTCCCAGGCCCCATCCTCAGAACCTTCCCTCAGGAGAGCTTCGTGGGCACTGCAGTCCCAACACCCATTGGGGGCTTCTCAGGGGGAGCAGGCTCCATGGAGTCAGGGGGCTCATATGGAGGCAGCAGTTCCATGGGGGGCATGGGTGGATCCTATGGAGGTGGTAGTTCCATGGGAGGAATGAGGGGTTCATATGGAGGCAGCAGCTCCATGGGGGGCATGGGTGGCTCATATGGAGGTGGTAGTTCTATGGGAGGAATGAGGGGTTCATATGGAGGCAGCAGCTCCATGGGGGGCCTGGGTGGCTCATATGGGG